TGAGGATGGAAGTGATTTTTATCTTAACAAATAGAAGAATCTTTGCAGACCCAAAGATATGGGAGGCATTGGCATCAAAGAACTTTTAGGCATGGATATTTCTCTCATAGTTAAAGAAATTTGGAATTATTTACAGCCCAACCAAGCTTCTTTCATTGGTTTATTTCGAAACAAGAATTTTAGCAACTTTATCCCCAGGATTTCTAGTCTAGTAACAATTCCCGCTGCTCCAATTTTATTAAATAGATTTCCATGGATTTTAATCCCTTATGGTTGAACATTTCACGAAAATTGCATAAGCAGAAGCATTAATCTTGGAATGATAAATACTCTTTTGAATGTTCTCTTTCAATTGATTTCTATAACATTCTCAGTTATGCCATAAAATCATAGTTATGCTGGTTCTTTTTATTTAATTAACAAGGTTGACAAAATTTTTGGAAAAGTATCATTCAAATTCATTTAAATGATTGCAAGGAAAGTTTTCTCACTGATGTCACTCATCTTAACCTTCGCCCTACTATATATTCTGTCAACACTTTACATTTTCTACTCCATCCATCTGATTGGAGGAGTCCTTAATCTTTATAGCTCTTGGATTTAAAATTCTATTTCTTCTATTAAGATTAAAGCGCTCATTTGATTTCTTTCAAGAGAAAAAATTCTAGCAAAGTGTTGCTTTTTTTCAGAAGGGAATTTCAATATTGCTCTTTGTGATTCACAAAGCTTGTTAGGGAATTGTAGTCGGGTAACAGCGGTTAGAGAATCATAAGAGGCCAATGATAGTTAGAAGATTGTAGTCGAACGACTCTGGTTGAGAGACCGTAGTCAGATAATGGTGGTTAAATGACCATAGTCAAGAGAAGGTGGTTGAAGGATTATAGTTGCGCAAAGGAGTTCGAAGGACCATAGGAGGGTGATAATAGTTAGAGGACCGTAAGAGGGAAACGGTGGCTGGAGGATAGTGGTCAGAAGATTGAAGCTAGACAATAGTGGTCAAATTATAATAATCGTTTGACAGTGGTCGGATGATCGAAGTCAAGCGACAGTATTTGGAGAAGCATAGCCAAACGAAGGTGGTTAGAGAAGCATAGTCATGCAACAGTAGTAGTAGGAGCTTATCCAGGTGATAATGGTTGAAGAACCATTGTTGGGCAACGGTGGTCGGAGGATCATAGTTGGGTGACGATATTTGAAGGATTGTAGTCAGGCAATGATAGTCGGAGGTACATAATCTTCGGAGACCAAAGTTCGGCCATAATAATCAAAGGACTAAACATGGCAATGGTGATCTAAAGGTTGAAGTCAAGCAATGGTGGTCGAATGACTATAGTTGGGCAGTGGAGGTTGGATGATTATAGTAAGGCAGTGGAGGTTGGATGATTGTAGTCAGGCGATGGTTGGAGGACCATAATCGAGGGATGTTGGTCGGAGGACCATAGTCGGATGATGGTAACTCGAAAATTGGCGGTCTAATAATGGCTGCAGAGTAGTAGTCCGTGGTGGTCCGAAGTAGACAGGGGTTGTCCGTCGGCGACCGTCAAACACTCATCAAACAATGGTGCTAGAGTGGAGCTCTAATATTCTTTAAGTCTCAGAGCTCTCTTGAATCTGAAGCCAAATGTAGGGAGTATATGCATATTTATATGTTTTTTAGACTTGCATGTCCTGTAAATATAGCTCAAATCCGAAACACTCCATTATACGACCCATACTGATTTTTTCAATTATCGATCATTCTTTCAACATTTAGGTTCATTAACAATATCAAAATTAAATGCTTTTGAGCTCATTGGATCCATCTCGTCGAGACGTCAATTAGACAATAAATATGCAAGATTTGGAGGTCGTTTGGTCTTCCAATTAGAGTGCCAAAAAAATTTATTGTGCTTAATCTAGCCTCATTCGAACTTGCATCAAACCATATTTGGTGTTCACTGGGTTTGTTTCGTCTAAATATTCAGTTATACTTTAGGTTTGCTAAAATCAGAGTTCAAATATCTTAAATTTAATTTCAAAAGTATTAAACTCAACTATGCACCAAAATAAGTCAATTTTTAACAACGTATCAGTTGTCCCTATTTTTGGATGCCTAAGATTGTGTCATCCAATCTATTCCATCCGATGAGGACAATCAATGCCTCAAGTGAAGGCTGTAGCCTCATTGTGTTGAATGAAAGTCTTGATTGCCAACGCAGGGGCGCATTAGATACAATAGTGTATGCCTACAATCTCGAGCTACCTCTCATCAATTTTTTTTTTCTTCTTGGATTTTGAAGACCCACAAGGAGCACCCTTTCAGCATGTGCAACATGCACAAGTCATCATTCTAGGTCCAAAAATGGCTCGATAGGGGCGGTTAGGTAGTGGTCAACATTAAAGATCAAGCAGTGGTCTGGAAATGGTGCTTTAGGATTCTTTAAAGATCTGAGCTTTCTTGAATATTAAGTCAAGGTCAAGTCTCGCCTTCATGTAAAGTGTGAAAATCTATATAAATTTTAAAGATAACCAAAACTCGAATTATTCCACTGAAAGACCTTTATCAGTTTCCTCGATCATAGGCCATTTAGTTAGCATTTAAATGCATAAATGATGTTAAACTAAGACAATTTTGGTGCACTTGGATTTGTCTCATTGAGGCACTCGATTTGCCTATAAGCATGTTGAAATTTTCTACAGTGCTCAAGTCATTGATCTGGGCTCATTCATACTCTCAGATCAGACCACTTTAATTATTGTTGGCTCGTCTCATTGAGACATTTAGTTGGACTATAAATTTGCTAAAATCAGAGTTCAAATGGTCTTACATTTAGTTTTGGAAGTTTCCTATTTAAATATATGTTGAGATTCGTATCTGTTCTAGCCAAATTTTTTATGATGTGTCACTTCCTTAATATTTGTGTGAAGAAGGTGATCAGTCCCACCGTCACCGGCATGGCTCTATAAGAAAATCTAGCAAGACTTACCCCACACCTTACTGAAAAGTCAATCAACTCAAAAGGGGGTGGAAATCGTAGCCCCGCTCGTAGTCGCCAGGTATCATGGGGGAGGAAGGCACACCTGATCAGATCTTTTAGGGACCGTCGCTATGAGATCATTGGGAAAGTAGAACTTCTTGTGGAAAACAATTAGAGAATCACCAATAACGATGGACATAACATCATCCGCCTTGGCTCCCTTGTTTGGCCTTCTCTCCCCGTCATTCTGGCAGTAGGGTGTGAATGCCCCTTTGTTGTGGGATCTCTCGAAGAAGGATTCTCACATGTCATGACCTTTGTATAGGGAGGGGCCCTGCAGTGAGATAAGGGATACTTATCCAAAGTAAGGAAAGGCCTCCCTTATTGGAAGAGGATAGAAGGGGGAGAAGAGAAAAGGAGGAGGAGACTCCTACTCAGTGAGGGGCCCTAGACCTGGACAAGGGATACCACCAGATCAGGACTGGGGGAAGGCCTCAGCCTGAGAAGGAAAAGAGAGGGAAAAGTGCAATTTTAATACCATTGGGGGGGTATTTATAGGTTTGGAGGGAGGTTGGGGAGGTTAAAAAAAATTAGCCGGTTTAATGGCCGGCTAACAGCTGGCTATTAGTCAGCGTTTGACGCACGACCCGCGGGTCTTGGGCCACGACCGGCTCTACCCAATCAAGCCGTCGGCAGAGCCGGGTAGGCCAGGGCAGCCAGGCAAGTGCGCGAGGCAGCCGGGCAGGCGCGCTGATGCTGGGGGCAGGCGTGCATGGTAGCACAGGCAAAGCGCAGCGGCGGCTTGTCCGTCCCAACTTGTTTTTGGGCTCAATTTTTAGCTTGGAAATGTCAAATCTGATGTTTTTTTGGGTCCCCATGATCAATTTTTTACATTCTGGACTCAAGTTTGACACTTTTAAGCATTCTTTCTCCAATCACTTTGTAACTTATACTTTTCTTTAATAAGAAAGGTTCACTTAGTTTTTAATCAAAACAAAGATTAGTAATAAATGTTCTATTTTTATTTTTGGATAAAATTAGGTGTCAAAGATTGTTATATTGGACAGTTCCAAGTCTAAATTTGAACTGATTTATTTTTAAAATATGCCTTTTTAACTTATGTAAATAAGAGGCAAGAAAAGTAGTTGGTTTATGGGCTTTGAGCACGCCAGCAAAGATGGCCAACAAAAAGAATTCAATAAATTGTTGGTTGGTGAAAGTTGTATGGCCACAACTAAACAAATGAAGGTTTGATAGAATTTAATTAAATAAGAGAGCTAGAAGAGAAAATGAGTAAAAAAAAAACATTTTTTTGCGAAATAGAAAAAGATCTTAGACTTTGTTCAAAGAATGGTGGTGCCAGAACTATTGTAATCATTCTATAAAGATGTGAAAAGGTATCATTTTAAGGAGCTTTCAAGCAAAGAGTTTCTAATATTAGCTAAATCTTTTAGTTTATTATCTCTAATGTTATTCTTTCTAGTAATAGTTAAATCTTCTTCAGCTAGAGATTTGGGGTTTACGTTTTGTCGTGAGATTAGGTATAATTAGATTTGGAGAATAGCGTTTTCTTTTGCCTCCTTCATTTGTACACATGGGTGAGTTCTCTATAGTAGATTTAATCTATTCTCCTCGTGGACATAAATCTTGGTGTAAGTTGACATAAAAATTTGGTGCTTGGTCTCATTATTATTATTAGTTTTTTTATCATATTGACTATTGTTTGGCGCTTTCACGGAAAATGTTAAATTTCTCTTATAAGATGTAAAATATATAGCAAATTAGGCAGATAACATGAGCGGAATAAGTGATAAGATGTTCAGGATAAGATCTGTAGACAACAAATGGAAGGAATAAGTAATGACCTGTTCTGTATGGTCTATAGCTACACATATAGGCAACAACATTGTGTTTCGTAGTTCATAACTAGCTTGTTATCATTATTATTGCTGCTATAATATAAATAAACATGCATTGGTAATGAAAGTGATGAATGTGGCGTAAAATTTCAAGGAGAAATGACCAAAAAAACTAACATCATACATGAAAGTCTATGCGAGTGCGTCCCATCCATCTGTACTTCTCCGACTCAATGTCAACATCAGCTATCAAACCTGCATATACCATTATGTTATATTAGACAACAGGATAGTTCTACATCTTCAAATCTCTAACCATAAGCAACTCTCAAGAAGATTACTGCCAGCAAAGCATTGCATTAAAAATGACTGATAACATGTGGATGATAAAGTTTATCAGGTTGCATTTATCCAAAGTGTTCATTAGCATACCCCATGTAAGCATTAAGATGCTAAAAAACTTTGTTTCTCCTTGCATTATGGTCGTAACATCAAGTGGTCTTTTATGGCCTGCAATGTTGAGGAGTGAAGATCATTAAAGCGACGTTAAGAAGCAATAAAGCACCACGGGAATAAGTTAAAGGATATGTCACCTCTTACAATTGCAAATGTAGCATGTTGTATTGAGTACATTTCACCGACTACATCTGAGAGTGATTTTGCCAATCCGTTTCCTGTTCCTGCGGTTGTATTCATCAAAAATTAGCAAGAGCCTCCACAATAACCTGTTAAAAGATTATTTTCCATAGAGAACAACTAGCATGTTTGACGAAAAAACAAAAGGAGCAAAAGAGAATTTTATCAAAAACTAAAATCTTGTCCTTCTGGAGGATCTTCGAATAGGAAATCCCAGCCAACTTCGCAGAGGATCATTTGTTTGCTTCAATAATTTTCCTTTCACTTAATAACCCATATATGTTACCATGAACAGATTATCCTGTCACATGGTTTGTCCTTCTGTGTTTTCCATGCAATCTTAGTATTAGGAAGTGTGTTTGGCTTGACACTGTGAGTTCTTTGCCACTTAACTAAAAAATTTTAGAACCCTTCGTCATTTTTAATATATTCATAGATTGACTTGCACCTCTTTCCCCATAGACCAAGCTAGTAAAAGTGTAAAACTACAGCATGATTGCACAAGAAAGAACCATAACACTGAAGTGACAATGAAATATTGTACAGCTCAAAGGGTGCAACGAGCTAATCTGGAAATGGAAGAACTTTTAATATTTCAGCATTCAAAAAAGGTAGTAGCTTTTCCATCAAAAAGAAGTAAGCGCTACAAATTTTATGCCCATGCTATTATGAAATAATATACCTGCAGGAAGGATACCAATAGGTACTTTGATTGCAGTATCCCAGTCTTCTCTTTTAAGTAATCCGTTGAACACCTAATTAGTAAGGGGAGGGTAAACAAGCCGGAAAAAATGGAGAAAGAAATTAAAGACTATAGCATTTAATCAAGAAGGCCAGCTAGACTAGTCTAAGGAAGCTATTGCAAGAACACAGTGTCAATAGTAAAAGAGCAACCATTCACATGAATGTGGTTACAGGCTCCAGATACTCTAGTCAATTAACAAAAATAACTGTAGGCCATACTTATAAAGCCATGACTACTTGAGCACTATAGGCCAGTCCATACAATGCCATAGATCTTCATACAGCATAATAGAAAATGAACTAAGAAAGAATGAGCAACTTCATTTTAAAGATAGCCTACTCTAACTACTTACAGAAATTAATGCTTTATAAGCAATAAAAGAAAATATTGATCATTCATTTCACTCCATTCCAAAAAAAAAAGTTAAATTAATGACATTATATACATAAAAATACAATAGTTGGTTTTGAATGATGCCCATAGCTCATATTCTATTAAAAGGATCTCACAGCTCTGAAAATATAACTTTATAATCTATTATAACAATAAAAACAAGAAAATTGAGGCTGACCGCATCCCATGCCTTGAACAAAAAAGAAATAAATTTGCCGTCTACATTATTCAGTTTAGACGATTCTGCAAGATGAAGATTAACAGTTACATAAGGTAATTTCTTCAGAACCAGTACTGTAAAACCAATGTTTCCCTGTTATGAAGTTAAAGTAGCATTTCCAAAGTGTGCTGCAGATGAGAAATCTATCACAAAACTTCACCACAACTTCCACTCATTGAATAAAAAGATGAAAGTCACGTAATTATTTACATGCCAACCCACAAATACCCTGTTTGGATGAGGAGGTGCCCCCGCCCCCCGCCCCTGATTGGCTGAAAGTAAATGTTGACGGTGCCATCCTCCAATCCAACTGTGGTGGTATTGGGATTGTTATTCGGAACGATCATGGGGATCCGGTGGTTGCTGCGGGGTGGAGCTTGGAACATTGGGACAGTGTGCAAGTGGAACTTCAAACCATGCTACATATCAACCGTGTGCTTCAGGAATGGATGTTCGATATGAAGGGCATCATAATTGAAGGGGATAGTTCCAAAGTCATCAAGCTTATGCAGGATTTCATGGACAATCAATGTTGGACCATGCAGCCGTAATCTGGTGCTGAGCTCAACTGGCTCCATCTTTTCCATAATCAGCAATACTCCCAGGAATTTCAATGGGGCTGCCCATTTTTTTGTGCCCAAAGGGCTATGCATTATAATTTTGTTTCGATATTTGAGGAACGGGATATGTACACTATTACTCAGTTGTTTTTTGATATCCTGACGGAGGATATGAGCACTCATGTCCACTTTTAGGTCCTTTTGTTTTTTACCCCTTTTGTAATTATCTTGCTTTAGTTTAATGCAATATGCAAACTTTCAAGGATGAGGAGCGTCGGCTGCTCTGAAGGCACCAGGTTTCGAGATCGGTGTGCATTTGTATTGAACTTGGAGACTCCCATCGTTTTGATATGTCGCACAAGAAGTTGGACCAAAATAAATTTTATATGAATTTGTTTGAGCAATATTCATGCCCAAAACTCAAGCAGTTCAAATTTCGGTATCAAAAGTAGTCATCAAGACCAAGCTTATTTGATAGTGTTCAAATTCCAAGATGCATTAATTACTAACCTCAACAAGAACTCCATCTCCGCTTACACACACAATTCCATCATATTTTAGGAGATCCAGTTTATAGGCTATTTCTTGTGCATGAAGCTGATATTTTGTTTCTGTTGGAAGATTCAAAAAAAAAAAAGTCATAAACTAGCTGAGAATGTACATTTACCTTAAGCATGAGGCATAACCAACTCAAAACCAATGAAGTTAGAAAACCAACAAACCTTGCACCGTGTAAATGATATTAGCTGCAACCAGTAAGGGCTTGATCTCGGTATGAAAAATCTTTCGGGCGCATTTCTTTCCCCCATACGGGTTTACAATAATGAACAATCTCTTCGGTCGGCCTATTTTAATTTTAAAACAAGTTTACATACATTAATCACTTCTGAGTAATAAAAACCCCAAAACTCAGCAGTGCAGTTTTAGAAGACAAAACAACAATTTGAACATGTTATTTAAGAGGTAAAAAAAATTATCAAATATCTAATCAAAATTTATGCAAAATCAATTACTATCGCTGAAAAGTTAAAAGTAATAAAAAACCCCGGTTTTCATTACCGCTTCCTGGACCTCCGCATCTGCACTCTAAAAAATGTTCAAACCCATATTGCAATGAAGGGGAAAATTTTGGAGATTCAAATTTAGTCAGGATAAATTATATACCCATTGTATTTAGATCAATAGATTCTATGAGAAATGAATTAGTCTCAAAGAAAATCAAAATCCAATCCTTACCCAAAATTTCCACCCGATGAAGGCCCGTTTGGCATTGTTTAGTCGACTTGTGCTGTGTTGTATTACGCCGATATCAGTTTGATTAAAAAAACATTGTTGTTGTTTGAATGATGTGTGACTTCGGTTATTAAATAAAAAAATCTGATGGACGCCAGATCTGAGTTGATTTAAAAAAATTAAAAAATTAATCATAATTAATACGTACATTATAAAAATAATTTATTTTATTTATTAAATAAAAAGTAAAAATTGAAAGGAAAAAAAAAAACATTTGTCCTAGGAGCAAAGCAAACCACAATTTTTAAGAAGTTAATGCTATTCAAGGTAGCAAAAGCAAGCTGATGAAAACTATGTCCAACGGAGCTGAGGCGTCTTAAAGAGATAGAATGACACGTATCTATCAAAAATCTCATGTTCGGTATTGCGATTGTCGAATTGTTCTCCGAAAACAATCTGGCAAAGCTAACATCGCTCTAACAAGGGAAATAGAGAACGAATAATGCCAATGCATACAGAATGCAAAACCACTTTTTTTCTGGTGCTCATCGGTAAAGAAAAAAAAATCTGGTATTCAAAATCATGAAAATCTAAATTTCACCAGAGAAATCCAGCAATAGTTTCCTAGAGAGAAACTTCGTATTAAAAAAAGAGAGAAAAAAAGAATAATAGAATATGCGAAAGTCCAACCTAACACGATGATGTCCAATTACAGAACTGTCAGAACACAAAAAAAAAAAAAATCAAGAGAGAGAGAGAGGGGGGGTTACCACCTAGGATGTTCATCGAACAAAAATTGAAGTATTCATGTCATTACTTTCATCAGCCAGTATTAAACGAAGCCCTAAATTAAACGTAAACCTTCTTACCGAGCGAATTTATGCAATCCGTTAGCCGATTTGTCCACCTCTCCGCAGCAACCTCCGTTGGCATCTCCAGAACGAAATCTTTCCTCAACCTCTTCCCAAATCCACCACTGCCACCGCAGGAAAAACCCTTCATCTCGTTAACGAATGCCCTTACACTGATCTCCCTCCCCTCTACCGAGAATCCAAGAACTTCCGACTCGACAATCAAGCTTCGCTCTCCGCCGCCGCTGTCGTCGTTTTGTCGCCAACGAAGTTCACCTCCAGTGCTAAGGCTAGCCTCTGACAGGAATCCATTAACACGGATTCTCTCCTCCATCTCTCCCGCCATTCCAACGCTGCGGATAAGAGATGGGGGCGAAGGCTGTGCTAGAGGCAATTGCGCTGCGCTCCCCTTTAAATAAAGCAGGGAGCATTCTTGTAAATTAAGATAGCATGGAGGGGTAAAAATGAAAATCAAGCTACAGCGGAGAAGATGTAACATGATATAAAATAGAATTAGAAGTGCATTTACACGTGTGAACTGACGCTGCACGCAATACCAACATCATCCATAATGAGGATGAAGAGTTACGGCTGCCGGTTTTTCGACTTCGCTCATTTAGATTTTTAGTTAGTTTCTGTTTCTCAATATGGAATATGGATGATGGTGGTTGCGTCTGTTTTTTTTTTAATATTTGTTGCGTCCTGAAATATTCGCGGCGGTAAAGAAATATATGGTTTAACGTCTTAGCATTGTACGAAGATCCAGCACACAAACAGATAAGAGAGGGGGGTGAAATCATATAAAGGTATCTTACTGATCTCGCCATCTCCGTAGCTGCGAGGGGATCAAGGATTGATTATTCTTTTATTGTTTTTTCTGGCCTTTTGGTTAGATTCATTTTTTGTTTCTTATTATTAGGCTATTAGCTCTTATTTCTTTCATATTTGGAGTCTTCTTTTTATATAACTTTGCACATGTAATTTTATTAATCAATAAAAATGAGGCATGACTCTTAAATCTCAAATATTACTACCTTATAATAAATTTTAAAAATCATTAAAATAATTTTAGATAAATATTATTGTAAGCATTCTAGTGATAAAAGGGATTTCATCCTTTTGACATTATATGAAAATCTCACGTAACTAAAATAAATAAATCTCATTCACACAAATAATAAAAGTTTTTTTAGCATTTTATGTGAAAATTCATAAAAGGGGGAAATAATGGATTTGACCTAGTTGAAATGATTCTACTATCATATGTCATAAGTTATAAATGATGTATTTTCCCACAATTGGGAAAAATAATGATATAATGTAACATACAAGAATTGTGAAGGTTGACATTCATGATATTAAGTCGTTAGAGTTATCTTCAATATATAGTAGATATTCTATTCAATCATTGTCCTCACAACTAGGCCAACCACTATTGTTGACAAATCACTATCATTCGACTGACTTTAATCTCTGTTGAACATATTTCATACCGGATGCCCTGGTTAAGCTCATAAAAAAAATTAACTTCTCAAGAAGAAGAGTCATTCTCTATAGATGTACAAGCCTGTTAGGTTCTCTCTTATAGGTTTGGAATATATTAACAAGAAGTTTTCTTCTTAGGGCAAGATCGTTCTTACTTTGTATATTAAAGTGATTGATCTGAGACAAGCCCTTATGGGCTATCATTAAGAAGGAAAACTTATTCGAAAGAAAGCGCTTGTTGACGATATTAAGAGAGCTTATCTTTCTTTTACCATGGTCAATAGTACTTTATACGGGTGGTCATTCAATCATATGGAGTTACATTGACTTAACAAACATGAAACCCTGAAGACCATGATCAAGATACATGCTAGATTATGTGGTGCTCATTAATATGACTATAAAATAAAATTAAAAATAAAAACATTATGATATTATTGGTCATCGATGATTGATGACTACATATTTGTTGCACATCATTATTATTAATGCTAAGTACATGGTTTAGTTCTGCATTAGTTGCCCAACATGTTGCATTAGATGATTACTTCATGGCCCTTTGAGAGTTGGGACACGGATATTATTGGGTTGTAAGAGGTCAAAGCTCATCAGTTCATATTGGTATGATTAACTACTTCTTTAAGTAGGTTGAAATCAGTTGTAGGAGTTCAAAGCTCATCATGTCCTTCAATTCTCAAGTGCATGGTTTAGTTCTGCATAAGTTGCCCAACATGTTGCACTAGATGATTACTTCATGGCCCTTTGAGAGTTGGGACACAGATATTATTGGGTTGTGAGAGGTCAAAGCTCATCGGTTCATATTGGTTATGATTAACTACTTCTTTAAGTAGGTTGAAATCAGTTGTAGGAGTTCAAAGCTCATCATGTCCTTCAATTCTCAAGGATAATATCATATCGGCGCTTAGTGTACCTCATTTAATTATATATGATAATGGTTCTTCCTTCAAAGTAACAAAATAAATAGCTTCATCAAGATGCATAATATTATAGATACTCAACCATCCATTATCCTATCAAAGAAATCAAAATTCACATTTGTACTTATATAGCTAAGCAATTCATAAACAACTCAGATGCCATTAGAAGAATAACAGAAAATAACTTTGTTGTTCAAGAAACATTAATATTGGATTTACTAGCACTTATATATTTAACTTCATCAGAAAGTTAATATATTTGTACTTATATAGCTAAGCAATTCATAAACAACGCAGTTGCTCCAAGAAGTAGGTCAAGATTAAGGGGGGAAATTATGGTTGTAAGTTGTAACCTCAAAAAGATACACTAAATATTATGGGTAAGATTTTTTACATAAATATTAAGATAATTAATTAGCTCTTATACTATTATAAATGTTCTAGAATTAATAATTAAAATAAAAAAAATTGCCGGAGAAATAAAAAAAAAAAACTATCGACCAACAATAACCTGCATTATTTTGTATTGGAATAGCTTACCTTCATATCGTAAATTAATATCTTATAGAGTAGATGGCTCGTCAGCCATAATTTAAAAAAAAAAATGTTGGCCAACAACTCTTATTTTAGCTCATTAATCCTAAATGAATGAATCAAATTTGAAAAAAAAAATATTATCAAATAATTCGAAAATTAACCCGAACAAGCTGAATTAATAATAATAATAAAATTTTAAACTACTAACATTATAATTAAATCATCTGTAAAGTTTACGATTCTATGCGGTGCAGTTGAACAAAATCTGCCCTATGGTCAACCGATTATAGTTGACCTTACATTTAAAGAAAATCTTTATAGGATAAATTATTTTTTTATTTTCCTTTCAAAAGAACATAAGTAACGTGCTTTCTAATTTTTCTATATATCGTACTGCAATCAATGGAAAACTATGCCAACGCTTGCAGTTGATGGATGCTTTATTTGATTCGGTGGGCAGAGCTTCCCGTGACGGAAAATGGAAAATAATAAGAGCCGTCTGATTGGAATCGGACGGCAATCGTGCATGATAAAATTGGGGAGAGTGCTTTTTGGGACAACTGCGCGCGACCAAAAGTCTTCCAATAAAATGGCATTATTTACTTTTGGATTATAGTGTTGACGGACATCGATTGGCCACCTGCTTCCTCCCTTTCTCTTTTTCTTTTTCTTTTTTCACTTTGCCTGGGCAATGCGCACTGTATGAGGAAAAAATTTTATTTTTATTTTGATGATATGATATAAATTATATATATATATTACATTTGTTTCAAAATTTATTTTAAATTTTTAAGAGCTATTTTAATCATTTTTTATTAAAATAGTCTAATATAATTGTTTTTATCTTCCGCTATATTCTTAATGATGAGCTAATCATATATATATTATATATATAAAGAGAGAGCGAGAGAGAGATGCCTCAATTTGTTTGGTTGGATATTTATTTCCTCCTATTCATGAAATTACATGCCTCTACAATGCTGTCTCACTAGTTGGTTGAGCGGTTTAAAGTTTTTCTTTGTGAAGATGGGAATTTGAGTGGATTAATTAATTATTATTTTTTTATATTCCAAAATTAATTAGGCCTCCCTGATCCTCTCTCTCATCTATGAGGATCCAAGAAGAGCTCTCCTCCAAAGAATTTATGACAAGTGGTATCAAAGCTTGATCGGCAAGACCAATAGCATGGAGGTTGGCTGGTTGGGCAGGCCGGTCGTGAGTGACAATGGGACGCACGATCGAACATTGTTTGGTCAAAGCAGACTGACGAAAGATGGAGTTCGCACGTGTGGAGTGTGGATGCAGTCGCGGAACGACCTGGTGCCATGGTCGGGCGAGTAGCTTAGGATAGGAAGCTGTGCTCGCACGACAGAGGGAGCGTGATCAAGCGGATCACACGCAACATTGAGATGTGAAAAGGGTCGATAGGCAGAGCGGGTGTTGCAGATAGGCCGTGGTTTCACAACAGCTGGCGCAGAGCAGCATGGCACCGCCATCGGGACACCTGGGCTACAAGCGCGGGAACCGCGCGGGGGGTTAAGCAGGCCCTATGGATTCTAGAAGTGAGAGCATGGGCACACAAGAGAACGCGCGCATGAAGGGGGTTGTGTTGCATGGAGGAGCAGGCCGGCTAGTCATGTCGGAAGCTAGGTTTTGAATTGCCTGTAGTTGCGATGCGAGGCCGAGCGATTAGAGTATCTGAACGTGCAATTTCACATGGGATCAGAGAATGGAGGCTGGGCTATGGGATTTGGAGACGGGGTCTGCGCGTATGGTTCGAGGCATATATGTTGGACGCAACTCATGGGCTGACACACAAGTGATCACCCTTGGGCGTGGGAGCCGTAGAGCGGGAGGCGACGAAGCTAGATGCACGAGACTTAAGTCGTGATCACCTTCCACCAGTCCAACTCTAGTGACCATGCCACAACTGCGACCAGCCTTGCACAAGCGATCCCCACGGCTTCAGATATAAAGTTGTTTTGTTATGTGTAGATATTATGCTGCCTATCAAGTACGACATAAAATTTTTTTATATATGTTTTATTGACTCATATGATTTATTTGTATAGGTGAGCAATGTGTATTAAATAGGGTGAGTGTGGCTTAGTCGAAAGAAAGGGCATTGTTTGGCATGATAATAAAATTTTGTTATTATTTATGTATGGCAAAGCCGGTTGATTAGACCAGCCCAACTTAAGAGCATAATCATCTAATCACCTTTATAATTATGGGATGATATGATATGTGTCATTCAATGATAACACAATAATGAAATATTGTGATTAAAAAAAGCAAAAATAACCCATTATAATTATAAAAATTTTCATTATGCATATTTTTACATATCCCTAATAAAGATAAAAGCGCCAAGTCATAAAGAAAATAAAATATATGTTCATTCTTTAGAGTGTCCGTCAATGATATGCTCTTAATATACTTATAGCCAT